ACTCTGCAAGAATCAACACACATTAATGTAGAAATTTCTAGAATTTCTATTCCAAGAAACTATTCCCAGTTTCTCTGCTTTTTCGGATTATTACTAAAAACAGTTTCAGTTCTTTATTATTGTTGTTAAGTGTTTTCATTAAATGCTCCTCAAATTACTCTTGAGATTTCCATCCTTTCCATGTTGTAATCCTATCATATACTGGTTCTCTATTTTTTATATTGTTGAATGTAAGTCACTTCATCAAATATCATAAAGGCAATCTATTGATCATATCAACTGTTTATTGCCTGCAGAAATAAATTCCCTAAACTTTTTTTGTAGTTCCTCCTTTCCAGAGAGAACAGCTAAAATTGGATTTTATTAAGAATTAGTTATTTGGTAAAAGGCACGTCTTTCAATATGATAGCTTGGTGAGAATTCGGTGAGGGTAATGATTTGACAGTTTAGAAGTGAGGGAAATTGCAAAGTAAGAATTTTGATGGTTTTAAAAAATCAAAAGAAATAAACCCATGATAGTTTCTCTGTAAAATCTGATGAGTTTTTGGGAACTCCTAAAATGAATGATAAGTTATTTGCCAGGTCAAGAGTCTTCTGGGAAAGTAAAATTGTGCTACAAGGTCATATTAATTACAAAAAGAAGTAGCAAATTGTTTTGGTACTTGGTGTCTACACTTTTAAAAAGAATAGGAGTTTTGTTTTCAGTGTAGTATACTCTAATGGTCACTACTTTAAGTTAGATGCCCAGACTAGATTCGATTTTGACTGCCATTGATATTTTTCTTAGTTTTTCAAGGCTGCCTCGTAGACTGCCAGTCTTTGAACATTGTTTCTTTTCTGTAAGAATACAAATCTTGTATTATACATGTAAATTATATATCAATTACCACGGATCCTATGCTTCTAGGTCCCTCAAAAATACATTCAGGCAAAAGCAAAAGTGAGAAATGTAAGATTTACTGAACACATCAAAGGAGAACCAGAAGAGAGAGTTTATACCCCTAACAAACAACCTGAAATTTCCTTTGAATATCACTTTGCTTCAAAGGTGTTTGTGTGGTCTTGTGATCATATAAGGCTTATGTAATATCATTTTCCTCATTACGTACATACTCACTGGTTTCTGTTTTCTTTTAAGTTTTTCTTTCAACCTTAAAATTCCTCCTTTTTATACCACAGAGAAATTCAACTGCAGTTCATACCACTGTGTCTGTGTAATTAAAATTATCAAGGAACTCATCAGTCAACCAACATTATAGCAATCAATATCTCAAGAACAAAGAGCAACATAAAAACTGTACATACTTATGGAGCACCATATAATATTTTGATATATGTTTATAATATATAACATTTAAATTGGCTTAAACATATCTGTGCTCTCCAACATCTATCATTTCTTTTGTAGAAAATATTCAGTCTTTTTCTAGTTTTTAAAAACATAAGGTTCTTATGATTATCAATAATCACCTATGCAACACCACACCAAAACTTCTTTCTTCTAGCAAAACTAAGAAATTAGACTGAATGGACACTATTTAGTTGGATTAACTTTGGATGATCTTCCTGTATCACAATGAATGGGACTGATTCTTTCTAGCTCACTGTGCCCATCAGCTACCTGGATTCTCTGTACAAGTCGATTTCATACTTTGTTTTATGGACAAATCCTTCACAAGTAGTGTTCTTAAACATTTATGCCTGCTCTGTATTTACTGAGAAAAAGAAGCAATCATAGGTGTGTGGGAGCCAGGTCGCAGTGACTCACAAAGCTAAGTGTGTACATTTTTTTAATGCTGCAGTTCAACGGGTTCAGCAGCAGGTAAATAGCTTAAAATTTGCCATGGCAAGAGTATTTATACATTAGAAGCTGGCAAGCATTGCAAATAAGGATTTTTCCCCCTATATAAAGTTACTTGGAACATTTACTAGTAGGACTCACTTGAAATAACACAGGAATCATTTGTGTAACTTGTACAAACTAACATTTTATTCCAAAATAACATAATCATTTTAATTAGAACAATGACTGTGTTTTCTTTTGGACGAATTCTGTTTCGAATAAAAACTTACTCTAGTATTTTTTTTTCAGATTAGATGCAAGTGAATTGAAATGCCTGCCGTTTCTATTTTTCAGTTTATCCCAGCCACTTGCACACTAAAGACCTGTTGTATTTCTTCAGAAACTTTTCAGTAGAGACTGCAGTCCACTAAGAACTTCTGGGACTAGCATTGTTTAATGTGTGGTTTAAATTTTATCTCACTTATAGAGTCAGGATATGCTACTAATCCGTGACTTAAAACCTGACAGCTTTATCGAGCATCATTACAGCTGGCGTTTTTCACTCTGTTAATCTCCCTCATCTCTGACTTCCTACATAATAACTGGAAAAGACATTATGGGTGACATATTTATGTGTGTGGACACAGTTGATCAATCCATCGAGGCTGTGGGGAATGCTGACTAAGGCACACTAGGTAAACAACTTGGAGGCTGTAAATGGAATTGGGAAGGACCTGCAAAATAGAGCACTGCATTTTATAATCTAGAATGGCTCCTGTATCACAAACAGATGTGGGAGAATTTGGGTAATCATATGAGGATACTTGGTAGAATTCTCTTATTTCATTCAGCTGTTAAAATTTTATTGAAAATGTATTTTCCAAATATTAGTTGCTACTGAGAAGGAGAGATGATGATAGGAAGACAGAAAGATAGGAAGGAAGAGGGAAGTAAGGAAGGTAGGAAGGGAAGGAAGGAGAAAGAGAGAAAGAGGAAGAGAAGAAGCAGGAAGGGAAGGGGAAGGGGAGAGAAAGAAGAGAGAAAAAAGACAGAAAAAAAGAAAGAAACTTCAATTTTTAATAATAAGAACAATTACGATGTGCTTGCTTTGTGCCAGGCATTATTCTAAACTAGTTATGATGTATTAGTTTATTAATTATCCCACTAACATTATGAGTTTAGCACTACTATTTTTATCTTTGTGTTAGTTAATGAGCTTCCTGAGGCGGGGAGAGGATGGCCACCTTGTCCAGTATCACTTAGCAGTAATTAGTGGGGGGCTGGGTTTCAAATTAGGACACCTGCTTGGGGTCCATGTTTTCAAGCACGACAGCTCACTGCAGCTGGTTGGTCTGTTATAACCCCAGAGACATCTAAATGGGGTCTTGCTTCCTTACATACCATCTTTTTATTAACTTCTATAATGATACAGTAGAATTAAAGAGGTATAAGAGATAGAAGGTGAGAGGAGGAAGGGGTGAAATAAATTGATATGTGTTACATACAGGTACCAACTCCTCATAAAAATGTAATCATTCCTCATGGGAAAGGTATATTAATAAAAAATAAAAACTGAAAAGAAAAAGCCCTAGAGACACTGGGTGCTGGGCTGTTCAGTTTGTATTTTTAACCAAAAGTAAAAACCTAAAATCAAGAAGAAATATTTTAATTCTTCTGGGACGAATGTATTTCAGTAATACCAAGTGTATTTAAGAGTTCATTCTGTTTTAAAGTTCATTTATTAAGGAATTGATCTAGCAAAACTAATTTTGGCAGCAAAGTTTTTGTCACAAAGACATATTTGGGATTATATAATAAGGTTTCATGGCGACAGATGTTGAGAAATCAAGCAGCTATAAGTTTGCTGCAGGTGTGGGACTGGCTGCTTCACTGGATTTTCACACAGGTTTTATGTCTCAGTTAATGTAAGAGTGTGTTGATTAGTTCTGTCTTGGTAACTGAATGGATAAAGAACTACTCATCCACATAATCAAATCTATTTGCAAATAAATAAGTGAGCTGTTTTAACAGTCTCATGCATACAGAAAAAACAAATATCAGTATAATTTAAAGTTTCACCCTCAGACCTTTACATGATAGGGAGATGATTGCATAGCCAACATGTGCAGCTATGGCTGGAAGCAAACATAATAGTGATAAATCAGTGGGCCTAGAAATCTGTGTAAGTTACATTCATAAATATTAAAATGTTACTCAATTTTTAAGGCCGAGCACATATAAAATAAATCAAAAAGAAAGATGTTTTAATACTATAAAATTCTTCACAGTTTTCTGTAACTTTAGCAAGTGCTACAGTTATACAAAAAGCTTTGATTCATCCTTATAGCTTGGAAAGATAGGTCAATAAATTTTCATAATTTCTGGTTTTCCTTTCCTATATTTTAAAATTAAGTGTCATATTCAAACTTATCTAGCAAATGAAAGCAAAATATTCTCAAAGGGTTTTGAAATATGGAATGCAGAACAAAGCATCCTAAAGTCTAATTTATATTATTATATTCTAAATCTTTCATATTTTTTATTCCAATGAACAATATGTCTTAGATATTTTTCTGTCATTGCTGAGACAAAATGCCCAACATGCAAGGTTTAAAGAGGAACAGTTTATTTATCTCACAGTTTGTAGAGGTTTCAGTACATAATCGGCTCCAAGTAGAGTGGCACATGCAGTTCATGGAAGTAGAAGACAACAAACATCACAAGACAGGAGAGAGACAAACCTGTTTCTCTCTTTTTTATTGTATGCCGGATACCTGCTCCATGCTTTAATTGCATCAACAGACTACAAATCAGTCTCAAACTGTAGATTCAGTCACCTCCAAAAAAGCCCACTCCCTTGACCATATGAGGCTTTAATGGGACATCCAGACACAAACCATGACACAATGTATCCCATAAAATTCTCACATAATTTACATTCTAACTTTATCACTATATAATATTCCAATATCATCCCCCTTTATGTTTATACACAATATAATTTGTTTACTTAAACAACATGACCTATCTTGAAAGCAATGTCTTAATATTTCTTAACTAAAATGTTTGGGACTAGAAATATTTCCAAGCTGCGTTTTTTTGGACTTAGAATATTTGCATAAATAGAATGTAATATCTTGGAAACATGATCCAAGTTGAAACACAAAATTTGTTTATGTTTCATGTACATATAGCCTAACGGTAATGTAATGGAGTATTTTTATTGTAGCTGTCTTGACTGTGTCCTCTCTTGTGATTTGAGATATGGAAACTTCCATTTGTGGCATTGTGTTCATAGTCAAAAGCTTCCTATTTTACACTTCCAATTTCACGTCTTTAGAATAAGGGTATTTAACCTACATCTGCTCCCCCGCTGGAGGCCAGCTGTCCACCTCATGTTTATCAGCCCTCTCCTACCTCATCCCCCCATAGGCTCCACAAGGCTAAGCCTAATATATTCTCCTTTAATCTACACTCCCTACAGCCAGAATCACTGCCTTCTTCCTCTGAATTCTCTTATTTTCTCATGAGTTCCTGTCTTCATCTTTATCTTTATCTTTCCCACCCCCATTGTACACAAGTTTACACCTTGTTCATGAGAGAACATTTATTTCAATTTAACTCAGTGAATGAATTAATTCATGAACTAACATTCCTGAAACCACATCAACTATCAACGACCAGTGCAATCACATTCAGAGCACAAAATAATTATTTTAAAAAATGACATCATCACTTAAGGTATTTGGATTTGGAAAAAAAGTATTTAGGATTTGCTCTTGACTGTCTGCAAGAGGCTATGCTTTTACATCTTTTGTCAAAACAACACCCAAGTACATCCTACACAAGCCACATAAATCTTTGAGCTGAAATCTCATAGGTTCAGCAATAAATAAGTGGACAGAACAATATGTAATATTTACCCTTTTCTGCCTGCTACTGAGAAACCAAGGATGTAAATGAAAGAGCAAGGCAAGAATGATTAAAAATGATTCACCAGGGAAAAATCAGCACAAGCAGAGAGCACATCCTTCTTAGGAGCTCATGTTACTGGCAGGCTACAGCCCAAGAGTCCATGGCCGCTCTCTGGTGGTGGGAGGGGGAGAGGGAGAAGATTTTACCTGGAATTTTTCAGACAAAGACATCGGCGTAACTACAGTATGTGAAAAGACGATAAGAGAAGAGAATAAGATGTTCTTTATTCTTTAATAAGCATTACTGTGATGTCCAAACTCTAATGTTTTTGTGGCATTTGAGAAATGAAAACTAATGAAATTATAATCTGGCTATGAAGGATGCTTCTTGATTCTGCCCCTTTGAAAGACTGAAAGGTTTAGGGTGTGACTTTTTTGGATTTTAACCTCTTAAATAGGTCTCAAAAATACACAGGTAATCTCGTTTCTTTTACTGGTACAACCTCCTACACTATCCACACGCCTATGCACAGAAAACCCTTGATTGGTATGAAAGAACTGCAAGGTACAATTTTGTGTACCTCTTATATGCTTTTCTCATCACATAAGATAATAGTAAGTTTTCTATGTGAGTTTTCAGTACCTTCTTCAAACACAAAGATAGCTTGGTTGTTTATTTCTTTGTTTTTTTTTTTTTTAATTTGGTAGTCCTTTTTCTTGTCCCTGATACTTTGAAAGGGATTCTGAAGGTAATTCCTAGTCTTGTGTTGTTTTATCTTGATGCCTGAGTACTAATATAAAACTTCTTCCAATATTTTTCCTTGTCAGAAGGATTTACAGTGCTATTTCTAGTGCATTGTCACCCACGCGATGGGCTCTAAAACAGTACTTATTTTGATTGATGATATTTTGGGACTGTAAAAGTTCTTTCCAAGAAAACTGTCCAGCATACTTAGCTACTTGTTTTGAAAGATATCACTCTTCATCAGTGTAGACGGTCTGCATTTCATCTGTTTTCTCACCTGGAACACCAGTCTCTTGGATCTTCTCTCCTGCCAGTACATTTGTGTTGTCTCTCTCTCTCTCTCTCTCTCTCTCTCTCTCTCTCTCTCTCTCTCTCTCTCTCTCTCTGCTCCGCAGTTACCTCAGATGATGGTCGTCCCATGGATTTTGGCTTTCGAATTGATATTGAAGAAAAAGGATTCTACACAGAGAACTTTCATTCAGCAGCCTGGATTTTCAGAGGAGATGATGGGAATCCTGAAGACAGTTCTCGATGTCTTAGTAAAAAACCACGACCAGTAGCTGGTAAGGACTCTACAAGTACAGAGAGATAGGTATGCTCATTGCATGGCAGCCAGGAAGCAGAACAGGGGAACCATGTCACAGAGGAAGGGGAAGGCCCCAATGGAGCACCCAAGGCCACACCCCTGTAACCCACCCCTGCTCATGCAGGAGCGCACTTTACTAATCTGCTAGGCTCTTCTTACTCCAATGAAATTGTAATATCAGGATTCATGGTCATAATACTTACATAAATACCATAAGATAAACAAGTCAGACAGTCATCATTGAAAAGCAAGTACAGGACTCTGAATTCAAAACTTAATAAAAAATACTTTAAGTGCCTAAGGTTTGTGAAAATCAAGGCATTAATTTCTAGTTAATCAAAATGAATAAGCTATGCATATCTGAGGTACAACATTATACCTATTACCAGAAATAATCAATAGTACACTTAAAAATTTAAGAGGGGAAACCTCATGTTGTATTCTAACCAAAATAAAATAAATCAGAACAGCAAAAGATAGATGATTAAGCTCTATGAATAGATTTTAAAATGACCAAAAAAATCTAAATTTAACTTTTGCTTGAGTAAATAGAGAAAGAACATCAGAATATTTTTAGGGTCGGGATCTTCATATCTTTAAAGTTGAAGAAATAGACAAAGTTTTGTATCACTTGTATTCTGCTGCATGAAAATGTCAGAGTATATTTAGTGTATAAATTGTGTTATATTTATAGAAATATATGCCCTTACTTTGAATTTTTACATCCAACAACGTGATTCTCAGGAAGTATTATTGGAGGATAAATTATTTGATGATGAAACTGCATAGTCTCCGAAGCAACAATGACATTCAATTGTGACTTCACAGCAGCTGGGTGGCACTTATAGATTATCCACTAGACAGTGGCAAGGGAACTAGGACTATAAATCTTAAAATATAAGAAAATTGTCTGCAGAATGTGTTACAAACCATTTTGATTGTCTCCTCTCCCGCAAGAGAGCTCTGCTGTTGAGCTCACCATTTAAAGCCTTTATCGAATTGTTTATTCTTTCATGCACACTGTTGACAATCAATTTGCCTGATTTAAAAACCAAAAGCAAAGAAACACAACCTCAAAGGAAGTAGCCACCTTAAGTCCCATGAAATATGAAAACAAAGCACAAAACATGATTTGATTTGAACCAACGCAATAAAAATATTCCATTAAACAAATATCTGCTGGGTAATCAGTCTTTGAATGAGCTCCTATCAAGAGAATAGCCTAGTGGGAACACAAAGTTTTGACAAGTGCAGATGTTAGAAATGATTTCACAGGGGTCAAAAACAGAAATTTTGATTTTCTTTTTGCTGTAATTAATTAATGATCTTTTGCATAATGATGAAATAGTAATTCCTAAGTCTTTGAGTTTCCCAATTCTGTCCCTTAAACTATACTAGGATCCAATAAATGACTGCCAAACAATCCCACCAAAACAGAGTTGTATTAAAAATATAACAGTTTTTCCCAGAAGCCTAGAATAGTGCAAAGGATGGAATGTCAAAGCTGGGATACACTAACACATCTTGACAAGCTTCTCCTAATAACAAAATGAAAACAATGTAGTTTTTCAGATATTTTGTAAAGACTAACTTTTCTTCAGGAGTCCACATGAAGGGACTTTATCCTTCCTCTGTTTGATAGTGTGCCGATTTTGGCAAACAATATGTGGCACATAGACTTCAGGAGAAAAGTCATCTCTAGCCTGTCTTTTTCCACTACATTCCTGGTTCATAATAAAACCCCTGAAAACATAGCATTTATCCAGGGAAGGGCTGAGAGTCAACAACGTCTGCCGTCAGAACACGAAGAACATGTAAAAGACAGATGCGTGTTTCCTGTTTTTCTGAGATTGTTTCTGTTCCCTATTTGACCAAGGAGGTGGGCATATCTGAGTATGCTTGGGAAACTGCTTAAGTTATTACTGGTGTTGTTATTTTTCATAGGAATCATAGCTTTAAAATACTGGTTTACCAAAGAATACCTAAAAGAATAATAAAATAAGTATTAAATCATCTTACAAATCTGCCAAGGAATATCAATTTATAATAACAATATTCCCAAAACATCAGAGATATACTCACCCAAGTCTGCTTGTTAGTAATGAAGGGATTCTGCATGAAGTAGATGACCAGGATAAGGTCTTTCTCCACTCTAATAAAACTGTTGTCCCTCGCTTAAAATTCTCAAGAGTTACTCAAACCTCTTATATGATTTTAGTTCTATCCACATTTTTCCTACATTTAGGCATTCTGTAACAGCAAGAAATATAACCCTACAAAGAAGAAATGGTCTCGTTCTCCAGCCTGGAGGGAGATCTAAATCTCTCTGAGAAATGAAAATTGACTTACAAAAATATTTTTCAAAAATTAGAAAAAATGATCAAAATATATTAACCATAAAATTCTAATGTATTTCTATTTTTAAAGAAAGGGGACTCTATTAAATTTTAATTTTAAGGTGCTAAATTGTCCTTATTAATAGATCAGCATTCTTATTTTATAATTAATTACCTGGCTTTTTCCCAGGGATCTAATAATAGGCTACTATTAACAATTCACTTCTGGAGCTCAGAGACCTTACCATTATACTTTATGATCATTTATTCTTTCTTATTTTTAGATATTCATTAACACACCGAGGAAAAATCGACCAGTAAATTATGTCAATCTAATCGTTGGGGAAGAGTAATTCTCTCAATATAATGTTAGTACATTTTTCTGGTGAACATTATCCTAAATATAACAAAAAGGCACATTACTTTGAAGCCCTTTGTTATAATTTTTCACTGGACACCTTTGTTAGCATTTAAAAATGAATCTTCTGAGATCACTCATCCTCTTAAAGTGTTTTATTTCGGTTATGTACCCTGGCATGATTCAGCTTATGTATTTTTCCCAATAAGAAGCTAAATGCTATCATTTCATAAAAGACAAAATACTCACCATATAAACATCTCTCTCTGTGGAAAATGCTCTTCCATAAAAAGGAGGGAATAGCCTTTCAGGACGTCTGTTCTGCCCCGGAATCATGAAAAGTAACAAGACAGAAGAGTTTTTACCTATGAAGTTTCCACCTTCTGTAATTTAAATTAGAAAACGTAGTTAGTACGAGAAACAGAAGTTAATGTAAAAATGAGGGACTGGAGGCACCTTCCTGGCTAGTATGGGTTCAATAAATAAATAAATATAAAGGTGAACTCAGGAGGCCTATGAATGAGCTGTAGTTACAAGGAAACCAAACACCCATGAGGAAGGAACACCTACACACATCTATGTATGTATGTCCAGGAAAGAAGCTATCAAGGTGGCAAGAAGACAAAGAAACAGATGGAAAAGCAGACAGAGAGATGGCTGAGGCATGTTAAATAAAGATATTTAGACGAGTTAAAAATTATGAATTTTTACAGTGAAGTTCTTGACTCTCCATCCCTTCCATCCAGCATAAGCTAAGTCTGTGGTGTCGCCACCGGCCAGTGGCACACAGGCTGCAGCAGGCACGCTGAACCCACTCTGCGAGCACGTGAGCCCAGTCACCCAGCCACGCTTTACAAGCCATCAGCATGTCTACCACAGCAATGATCACATTAACTGTGCAAAACACACCAAACGCAAACTTTTACTTTTTAGTAAAAAGCTGATTTTATCATTGAAAGCTCCGTTATTATATTAGTCCTTTAAGACAAAAGGCATTAATGTATGAGATGTTTTTCACACTACAACTTCAATACTCTGGTACTTTGTGATAAGGAAGTGAGTTTCAAGTTGCAGTTTGGGCACTTGGCCTCTAGAAGATTCGTGATCAGTGACCTAAGAGCAAATTTCTCCAAGACTCAATTGTTCTGTTTTTGGAGAAGCTCAGTGATGCAGGTTTTCTTGGGTTCTTGTAAGATCTACATGTATGGGTGAGGATTCAAGTTTTTGATTTCTACATATAACCTTATCATAAATATCACTTATTTGTGGATCTAAGTGACTCAGGTTGGTAAAGTTCAGTGCTTTTGCAAGGTAGCTGTGATACCATGGGAAGGAAAAAAGCCTTGAGTGTCCTGCTGCCTAACAATAGCAAGCAATATCTCTCACTCATCATGTGACTCAAGCAAGCTGTTTGACTTTTGTGCTTCAGTTTACTCTTTCTTAAAACAACAGACTAGCATAAACATTAAATTAGATCCTACTTAGTATTATTCACAATGATTTTTATTACATCTAGCATATAATAATAAATAATATTTATTTTAAAACATGATTACTTTATTGCATCTAAAAACTAAGCAAAAGCAATGTCCTCTTTGCCTTCTTTGTAGTTCGTGAGAGAACTGTGAGATTATTCAAAGGAACTGGAGACTGTCCCTGGGGATTCCGAATTCAGTTCTCGAAACCCATCGTGGTTACTGAAGTGGATGCTAGTAAGTAGTCTCACTGTAAAAGCTTTAATTCATACAAGAACAACAATCTCAATTTTCACAAAATATGCAAAATATCCTCTATATCATAGTCCTGTGAAACATACATATGGAATAGAAGCAACTTGTAAATCTCAGTTTACCAAAAAATCATGATTGAGAACTGCTCCAATCACAATCGTATAGTTTTGAAAGACACAGCTTTCCTGATGGAAAGAAGTTTCTCTCATCAACATAGGGCACTGAGTATCCTTCTTATCAGAGAGCTTTACCTGTAACTGCAGAAACGGGGAAAGACAAAGGTTCCTATGACTAGTCCACTGTCTACTTGTTAGTGCCTGTACTGTTTTCTGGCAAGAGTACTATTGCTCCTAAATTACTTTCCTCATGTCATCTTGTGTACTCTTATTTCAGGATTCAGTAGATATCTTGTGAAAGTTAGATTTTAAAAAAATTCTTGATTTCTAACATAAGAATACTCTGAAATAGTTCTGTGGAGGAAAAGAAAAAAGAGCCAGAAGAGTGAGGTGGGCAGGATTAGATCAAGATGTCTACCCTTAGCCTGGGGCACAGCGGGAAGAGTAACACAGAGCGGGGCTCAGAGCCACTGGGGTGTTTGTGAATTACACTGCTGTCGTAGCTGTGTCCTTCTCCCCAGGCGAGAGTGAGTTTAAAGTCAGGAACTGTATCTTACCCGTCATTTTATCCCTAATAGCCCATGCAGTATCCCAGAGGCCACAGAGTGGGTATCGCAGAAATGCTCTTTGAGTGGCTGTGATAGCCCCGGGGACCTGAGGCTTACCTGGCACGGTGCAGAAAGGAGAGGAGGAGCCACCTTGGGAGGACACCACCCTTCTGCCCTAATTCTTCCTCTGGTCTGATTGTCACTCAGAGTCATAGCTGAATGTTCTTTCTTTGTCAGTGTTTGGTGCTCTTTTGTTGACGCCCTGTGATCCCACTGGGAATCTGCCCTCTCACCTGTAAGGAAATGGATGGTTTCTCAGCTCTGGCAATGGTGACCAGCATGACTAAGGCAGCGGACAAGACAGTTGGCTCCTGCCTGCCATTAAATAGTTGTAGATGACGACAGTGCGCAGGAAATGGTGATCAGACTGAAACTCATTTTTTTATATTAATGTAATTTTAAAATCAATTGTCAGAACGTGAGAATAGAGAACATAGTGATTTATTTCAGTTAAGACTGTTGCAACCAATAGAAAAGCTGGCAGAAAGCGATTGAAGCAATGAAGAGAATTGATTCACAAAAGCTGAACGGTGTGCTATACTACAGGTGTTTGATTTCATGGCTCAATCATTTCATCAATGACCTGATTTTTTTTATTCCCATCCACTTGCAAGATTCCCTCTTGGAACCAAAACCAGTTTCACCAGTTGTGGATTTCCTGTCACAAATCATAGATTTACAAAGAGAGGCTTCCAACCTAAGCATCTTCATGTTGCCGTGACCCCTGGGGACCCTATGAGCTGATTCATTTAGACCAAACTTAATTACTAGAAAACCAGAGCTCATCCTGGGCTGGAAGTTGGGATATTGCTCCTTGACCATCCACAGGCTTCCACAATGGACAGTAGGAGGCGATGTTTTAAGATCTGGGGGAATTCTGTAACCTTCCCACCTGCTGGGCAGACACAGTGGTACTCTATGCTCAGTGAGTCAGGAACAAAAACACAAACAAATACAACTCCACGCAGTAAACACAAAGGATGGACTTTGCCTCTTCTTGGTATAATAGTACTTGACATCTACTCACTGTCTTTAAAAATCCTATTATACTTACCAAAGAATTGCTTTTGAACTTTCATGATTTGATTCTAACCTAATTAATCCTCAGCTATTTAGTAAATACATTAAATATCATATCAACTCTGCAAAGTTGAACACCCAGCATCTCTAACATTTAACTCTGTGGGATGAGAAGGATTTGGTCAAGCATTATATGAAATGACTTTTTCTCAAAGGTCTCTGTTGAATTTACCTTACAGATTCATTCCTCCCACTCTGGGTGGGTTCTGAGATGAGTCTTTAAGTTCTGTCTTCTTTTGATGACAATGAATGCCTTTTCTGTCACTAATGTCCAGTCCAGCCTAATAGTCAGAGAACTACGAGTCAGTCTAGTGTAATCATCAAAATCGCAGAAGTCTTACCGTCTCATATTCTCTCTCTTCCCTCAGCCTGAGCCCGCTGCAGACTTGCAAGTGTGGATTACCTTTGTGACTGTTTCCTACCTCTCTTCTAATTTTATCAGAAATCCCACCTCTATGCCTTCAAATGTACTTGAATATGTACCTTTTGCCTTTTCTCTTTCTCCTCTGAAAGCAAATCCTTCCTCTTATGTGGTTTGATCCCTTTTGCTCTCACCTTCTCATGACTTACAGAATATTAATAAATTGGTAACAGATAGAAACTTCTTTAAAGTAACAAAGGGAGCTCCTTTTTCTCAGTTCCTATCACCTGAGAATAAACCAAAAATAAAAGCACGAGGGGTTGGAGGAAAGCTTTGTGCCCAACAAAGGGAAAAGAGGGTGAGTAGGCAGAAAAGACTTCAGACCTAACACAGGTCTGTCTGGCACCCAAGAGAGGAAAGGAAGTGAGATTGGGTAGGAAGAGTCAAACTTCACTGTGCTGCTGGGAAATTCTGAGACAAAGTAATACAGGGCCCTGGGCAGAAGCTCCACTAAAAGGGATCCTGCCCTGGACAGCAGATGCACTCCTCCATGTCCGGTCACTGGCGAGGGCAGCCTCAGTGCGCAGGGCATCAGAATGGGATGGGCTGTCAGCAGGGCAGTAATTGAAGGCTTCCTGCCAGTTCCTACTCACGGGGTCGAAGGTGTGGGCAGTGTCTGTGTGTATAAGACAGACACAGAATGCGTGGGTAGAAAGCCTGGGAGGAAGGAGATTGATAGGAATGATTGTAATAAAATTCTGAAGATCACCACTTTAAAAACTAAAACAATGTAGAAGTTTTACATTAACAGCAGGAAAACCATGGTTATTGTTTTTAAATCAGTATTTAAAGATGTGAATTCTTTCTTAAATTCATCTACAGATGTAACCAAAAACAAAATTCTAGTAGTTGCTTGTGTTTTCACTTAAAAGAAAAAAAGCGAAATTAAATTCTAAAATACAGTAAAGCAACAGATCAAGTTACTAAATTTAAAATTATTTCTTACAAGTAAAAAGCTTTTTATTTTATAATTAGATATTAAGGTGCAAATGTATGGTTATATTGTTACGTTGAGGGTAATGAATTTCAAGTAAAATGTGTAAATCCCCATTTAGCAAGTAATTTTTTAGTGATTTGGGCTGGGAGAGAATCTTAGTGGGATCTAGGGTGGGAGAGTGACCACAAATGCGTGAGGAAAGAAAGCTAAAGAGGAATGTGCCCTTAGGACTCAGCTGACAAAAGACAACAATGGCAAATTTTGTCTGGGGTCAACCGGACTTGATCTCTTAGTACCTCAAATTAATAAGAACAGAAAACAGTTGTGTGTTGCGCCCATTTTTGTCTTATACATACACACAAGGTAATTCTAGCATACGCTGGTTTCAGCCTTTACTATAATTTTACAAGTATTCCAACTTTAAGGGTACCAAGGATTATTCCTGTGGGCTGCTCTCAGGGATGTTTCACACCTTCCGTCCCACTGCCTTCCCATTCCTCCGCCTGCTCAGACCATCTTTTCTCTTCTTTCTCATCTTACTGATTTCCCTACACTTCTTCCTCCTCTCCTTTTCTTTCCCTTTCTGACTTCAAGAGATTAGCGTTCAACAGAGAAATAAGGAAATTTATAAGGAGTATAAAATTATTACCCTTTAAAAATCAAACAGTTCAGAGTTTTGCAAAATGCCTAAAACCTTTCTTTCTAGATAAGTAAATGCAGCTTAATAAAATGTTATGCCTTATTTAATTTCTATCTCTGTTCTACCGAAATAGTTAACTGTATTTCATCCATTCAAATGTGAGGCAAGTAAAATGTTTGCATTGCAAATGACTTTTTATTTAAGAGACCCTGAGGTTTTTGCAAAAGAAGCTGAAGTGTCTTCATTGTAGTAAAATTGGTGCAATATATAGTTAACCTAGGATTTTATTCCACATAAGAAAATGCTGTCCTGGCAGGGATTCATGTAGCTGCTGAGTCTTTTTTTTTTTTTTTTTTTTTTTTTTTTTTAATGTCTTCCTAGTGCTGAAAAGCACCCTCTGAAATCCATTGTCTAGTCAAATCTACTAAATGAGAGGTTGAGGGTCTTTGAAATTATACGTATTTTCAGCCCTTCTGAGAATCTTATTCATGCCACAAAACATTGTTCAGGATGCAGTAGAGAGGCTTAATTACACACTGAAGATAAAAAGATAAAGCAAGGAGACCTGTAGGTGGGATGGAAATGTTTTCTGAAGTGCACAGAGGCTGAGCTTGCTCGGAGCTTACATAACTAATTGCCCACAACTGGCTGGCATCTGCACGAACATTTTCTATGAAAGCCTAAATGCTCGTGAGATCTGTTGGCATAAACAAAAGAAACAGATGTTTCAACTTTGATACCAAGCAAACTTGAAAACTATACATTTAAGAATGGGCAAGGCATAGAGGAAATTATGAACCAGGCTCATCTTTCTGGAAAGTCTAGAATTTTAAATGCTGCTGTTATGATACAGTTTTAAAATGATACACAGCAGCCCCTTTAAATGTTTTTTCAGATCTCGCAATATATGTAAATACACATAAAATAATGGAGTAACTCAGCATTTAGCTCTTTATAATAAACAGAACTGTGCAGTGAAGTATCCCTTTAGAGAAAAATTCTGAAAAATTCTGAAAAATCATTATCTTGTTTTCTTACTACCTTATAACTCCCTAATGAATATAGGTTGAATGTTTCTTTCCACTCCCAAGACTAACCCCAAATAGGGCAAACAGCTCTGCGTTATATATTATTGGGTCACCTTGAAATATCTTGTTCCTGTTCCACAAAGAAGTTGTAA